TTTTTGGTTAGCTGCCTTGAGGATTACACTTGAAAATGCATAAAACAATTCAATGTGCATGGAAAGCGTCACCCAGGACATGCCCCCACACAGGACACGTACCCATGCAGGACAGGCCCCTGTGCAGGACAGGCACCCACACGGGACACGCCCATACACAGGACACACCCCCAGGAGGACACACACCCACACAGGACAGGCTCCCACGCAGGACACACTGCCTCAAAGGACATACACCCACACAGGACAGGCACCCCAAAGGACACACCCCAACACAGGACACACTCCCATGCAGGCACCCACACAGGACAGGCCCCCAGGCAGGACACACTGCCACAAAGGACATACACCCACACAGGACAGGAACCCCGAAGAACACACCCCAACACAGGACACATGCCCACGCATGACAGGCACCCACGCAAGACAGGTATCCGCGCGGGACGCACACCCACACAGATAAACTGCGACTCCAAGGGCCGGAGGGAGACATGGCCAAGGGACCCGTCCCTTCATCTACACTGTGTATTTTACAATGTGAACACTCAACAGACTACACTGAACAACGTAGCACTTGTGCAATTAAACATCAAATCCTAACCAGCTTCTAGGGCAATGAAAATGTTCACTGCACTCAACAAACTGAAAACAAACCACAGAGCCAAACCCTGAAGGCTAGGAGGAGCAAAGCAGATCAGCAGCCCAGCAGCTTCCAGAGAAGATATAACTGCATGACAACTATTTTCTTCCTTTATGCCTACAACTCCTGGCAAAAGACACAGAGAAGAAATGACACTAATTTGATTTGAAAAGATTCCAGTAGACTCAACTGAGGCAGCAAAGTCCCCACGGCGCCTTCCTGTACACCCCACCCATCCAGCCCCTCTGCTGACATGGGCCGTGTGAGCCGTGCCCCCTAGCAGGTGGCTTTGCCACGACGCACTGGCTCTTCCCGGAGATGTCCAAGGTGGGGAACACTTGCTAGTCATACCCCAACCAAAACAACTGTCAAAAATAAACACCATGATCATCCCCAGGAGACCTGAGTGGCTTAGTGAATTTAAGCCAATAGGAAACTCGGAAGAAACATGCGGGGGCTCCATAAAGCCAGCCTGGCACCGGCTCTGGCACCAGGGCCCTGGACTGGACACCAGTCTCCATGGTTACAAACTTTCCTGACGACCATGAATATTACACACAGAGAAACGAGCCCCAAGAAGGGTGCCCCAGCCACGGCCACGGCAGCGTTCTGGTTAATCTCATCCTGTCCGGGCCTGAGCCCAGCTCTCGGATCCCAGCACCAGTCCCATCTACAGCCCCTTCCTCCCTGCCCAGCCGTGTTGCGCACAGGCATCCAGGCTGTGTGGGGACAGCCCGGGGCTGGGGGAGCAGGCAGCCTGGGTCCAGCAGATTCTATGTGGGGGCTGCACTGAACTGCTGTGGGGGCTCTGAGAACAGCCTGAAAGGACTGCAACCCCTACCCAGTCTCTCCACCCTGGGAATGAGCCTCCTCAGCTGCGACCTCACACCAGGCACGTATGGCAGGAAGTGGCCTTGGGGGCTCCTCGGACCCTGCTAAGTTGTGGGGGGCTAGGGAGTGAGGAAAGGAGGGGTCAGGAAGAGGCGTGAGCTCCCCGTCCCCCCAGGCGTGAGGGCAGGTCTTTGACAACCTGAGGCGGGGGATGAATGTGCAAGTCCCTGTCTCAGGACCAGGGCCAGTGGGAGACCCTGCAGAGGCGAGGCTCATACTTCAGCTGCCAGGGCCCTCAGGCATCCATGTTGCTTTGGATCAGGGTTTAGAAAAAGTACTTATTCTAGCCAGACCTTCTGCTACCACCCAAGTCTAAGGAAGCAGGGACTTCACCTAAGAAAGGAGGGTGGAGTAGGGAGACCCAGGGCTGACCCAGGAGATCAGGGAGGACCCAGGGCTGACCCAGAGGGTGGGGGAGAACCAGGGCTGACACAGAGGGTGGGGGGCCCAGGGCTGACCCAGAGAGTAAGGGCGGGACCCAGGGCTGACTCAGAGGGTAGGGAAGACTGCAGCTACGGTCTCTCTGGTCCTTAACACCCAGCCCTCATGGAGACACCAAGGAAGGAGTGCGTCCTGACATGTGGCCTGGTCTCCCTTGGTGGGTAGCTCCTCACCTACAGTGTAGCAAGGCCAAAGGTCATCGAGTGCTGATTGCTACTCTCCTTCCTCCAGAGGCCTGGCCCCTCTGTGAGCAATGCCCATGTGACACCGATGTCACCTGACCAGACAGAAATACTCCTGATGCCCCGTAGTGACCCTGGACCATCGTCTGTTTGGCAGGACCATCTGGTGTCTGAAGTATCACATGAGGGTACCAGATAAAACACGCTCCCAGGCACGTGTCACGGCAGCACACGACACGCCAGCACATGCCACCACATGGCAATGCCCACCCACACACCTCAGTCCTCTGCTGAGCATTTCACTGAGGGTGTGGGGTCTGCCAAGAGCCCAGACCACGGGGGCCTAGAGCACCTCAGGTTGTGGGCATTGGGCCACTGCCTCTGGCTCCAGGCTCAAGCTCCCTGGGGAAGTGGCGGCCGTGTCTGACGAGAGACCAGGCAACAGAGAAAGGACCCATTGTCTCTCAGAGCTCCCTGCCTGAATCCCCTGACGTGCCCTGCTGTGCGGGTGAAGGGGTCACCCGGCCTGGACCCTGTCCAATAGACGTGCAGGGCGCTGTCTGCATGAGGCAGGCGCTGCTGTCCTGTGATGCCAGTGGGTGACAGCGCCAGGGCTCCAGTGCTGCTGTGTCAGGCCATCGGGGAACATCCCTGGATCGCAGGGGAGGTGGGGAGGGCTCTGCAAAGGTGGGTGATGGACAGGGAGACAGCCACACGCCTTTTGCACCTCCTTCTCAGAAAATGAGCCATGGACTCAACGCTTACAGTTTCCCAGGCAGGGGAAGCTTTTCCAGTGTGATCTCATGCAAAACCCCAACATGTGAACTCGACCGCCTCGGGCAGCTGCTCAAGGTAAGGGGCTTCTCCACCCCCGCCCCCCACTGCACACAAGGCCAGGCACTCTGAGGTCCAGCGTCTGGGACTCAAAGTCGTATGTGCCTTGGTGGGATGGCGCCTCGTCTTGCCTGTGCTGCAGTAGGAACACCTGTGTTTGTTCAGCACATTCTATTTTGTAAAATGTGGTAGAAAGAAAATAACTCCAGCAGGAAACAGAAGACCCAGCAGAACTTGCCCAAATTTAAAGATCCAAAGTCCTCATGGGGCTCAGATGTTCCCACATCCCAGGAAGAAATCCCCACCTACACGCACACACACGCATGAACCTGCACACACATATACACCCACACATACACACGTGCACCCCCGCCGCCCCGCTGTTGTCTGTGTTCTCCCCATTGAGTCCTAGCTAAACACCAGTTCCCACTGGCAGGAAGTCCAGGCCTGGGGACATGCAGAGTGGGGCTTGGCGGGTGGCGTCCAAGTCAGGAAGCCAGAGCTGGGGCCCTACAGGAACAAGGGGTTGCAACTTCAACAGGTAACCCACATAAAAAGTTATTAATGAAACCACATCCTTTTTCTCACCCCACAGCTTTGAAACCAGCGTGCACTATACAGGTGGAGCCATCTCAGCCTCAGACTCAAGGTCTATCTGGCTCCGGCTGTCACCCTGTGGTGACTCACACCCTGGCCCTAAGCAGACCGGAGATGTCATGAAGGAGTTAGGAAGGCCACACCCATGGCCAGCAGGCCCAGCCTGTGCCTCCCAGAGGCCTGCACTTCCTGCCCAGTGGGAGCAGGCGCCTAGCGTGGGCACAAACTCAGGCGTGAACGTGGTTGGGTGGGGTCCAGACCAGAGTGTGGTATTTACGTAAATCAGGGTGGAGGTCAGGTGTGCTGGCTCACACCTGTATTCTCGGCACTTTGGGAGGCCAAGGTGAGAGGACAGCTTGAACCCAGGAGTTTGAGGCTGCAGTAAGCTGTGATCACACCACTGTACTCCAGCCTGGACAAGAGTGAGACCCTCCAAAAAAAAAAAAAATTAATAGATGCAGCAGGCCCCGTGTGCAATGCCCTGGTCTCTATGACTGTGTTTCTCCCCACGCCCATGGGGTGTGTGTTCCCTCACACTCCCGTCCTATAAAGTGCACAGCAGCCTCTGCCCTCCTGGGGCTCCCTGAGCGCCATGGGGCGCGGCCGGGGGGAGGGGAGGCACGCGCACTAGAGAGAGAGAGCAGCCTTGTTCCCATCAATCCTCCTGCAGCCCGGCAACCAAAGGGGAGGCTTGCTCTCCTGTCAAAGCCAGGGAGTCTTGGGGAGCAGGAGTCTGAGACAAACACACTGGGATGTGTGCCCTTCCATGGGGGGAGGCCCGGTTTTTGGGGTGCAAACATGTGTCTTGGGGTGCAGGAGCCTGAGAGGCATCCGGGACAGCTCCCCCAGCCTGGGTCACACCATTTGATCCTGTAGGGGGTGGCAGAAAGCAAAAGTCCCTTGGCAACGCCCAGGTGACAGCTGATGACATCCCTGCAGGAGCGGCCCCCAGGCCACACTGGATGGGTCGTGTCTTGGTGCATCCAAGGCCCCCTGGACAGGGCAACCAACCCTCAGTCCACTGCGGTCTGCTTGTAGCCACCAGGAGGAAGGACCGGAACCCTGGACACGTGCACATGGGGACTGTGTCACCCCAGCCCTGCCCCTCATTCCATGATGACAGACGCAGGCCTTCAGGGAATCATGTCCCTGTCCATGAGTGACTCCCTGTCCCAAGACAACAGATGCAGGCCTGCGGGGAAGCACATCCCCACCCATGAGTGACTCCCTGTTCCAAGACAATGGACACAGGCCTGTGGGGAAGCAGGGCTCTGCTCATGAGTGCCCCCTGGACTACGAGTGCCCACTCGACCATGAGCTTTTCTTTCCCCTGCATTGCCTCAGACGCCGCCCAGGATTTCCAACGTCAGGAGCCTGGTCCCATGTCTCACAGCCCGGTAGGGATTCTGCTCCAGTTTAAAGAAAACCTTAATCAGATTTATTACCCCAATTATTAGAATTCCACAGCATAACTCACAGTAGCAAACGGCTGTTTCTGAGAAACAAGAGTTTTTAAAATTAAGCCTTTTATTTTCAGGTGATTGCAGGCGACAGCCGTCATGAGGGAACACGGGATGCCCACGTGCCCTCTGCCACCTCCTCCTAGGACAACCCTCAGAGAGCAGCCAGGACCACATTCGGATCCGGACTCTGAAATGACAGTCCCTTGACCAACAGCATCAATGGGGTCTTCTTACTGATCAGAATCACACAGGGGATTAACTGACCATTATTTCACAAAACTCACAAGCTCTCAAATCCTGCCCTCCTTCCCCCAACAAAGCACAGCAGTCAAGCTAGCGTGTGCATGAGACCCAGTTACTTCCTCGCTAGGACACCAGTGGATCACCACATGATCTCCCTTTCTACATTGATACCTATTTAAACAAAACATCTCAGGAGACCTACACATCTGAGTCCGGAAGCTGCTGCTTTGATGAAGCCCAGGAATTGCTACAAAGTGCAGCAATATCTCCATGGTGAGCTGGCCACTCTGCCGTCCAGGCGCGGACACTGGGGCGGGCGCCGGCTCTGTCGTCGAGGCGCTCACAGGCAGGCACACGTGAGCTCCTGGAGGACAGGGAGAGCGGCCGCCCCGCCCCAGCAGAGTACAGGACACTTCCAGCCGTGATGCTGTGGCAATAGGTGGCACCTGCCTGTGGCCCCTTCTCAGAGGATGTTTGAAATGCATGAGGCCAGATGCACAGGCACAGGGAGACACAAGCAGACATAGGCAGGCGTAGGCATCCGAGTTTTTATAACAGCGCTGTCTGTGCCTCAGCGTTGCATCCAATGATTAAACCAGCAGGGGCTGGCGGCTCCTGCAGCTGTGACGTGGGTTGAGCGCAAGTGACGCATGAGGTGTCCCCAATGGATGGCACAGGGAGTACCCATACCCACCACTGCTGGGTCTGCAGAAGCTTGTGTCAGCTGGAGGCTACTGAAAACACACAGGGTTTATTCTCCAACCAGGTTCAAACTTCCTGAACTCAAGAGACTCAGGCTGAAGACAGGACAGAGTCCCCATGGGAACCTGGGACCTCCATGCAGGGTCGCAGGTTCCTTCCTAGGAAGGAGGTTCCCGCCCTACTCCACATTTCTCCGCATCCAAATTCCTACTCTTTGGTCTCATTCCGACTGGAGAACCTGACAAAGACTGTAGGGCCGTTATCCCAGGAAACACACACACAGGCCAGCAATGAACTCAGATCCCAGTCCCTGGCAGCCCGACTGACTCTCCTACAGAGGGGTAAGGATCTCCAGGGCTGACGCTGCTCACATCTCAGCACATGCAGAAGGCTGGGCTGGAACAGTGGCCCCTATAGCCTGGTCAGGGGACCAGAGGCCCTTCCATAGCGACTTTCTTTTTGATACATGGTCTTGTTCTGTGGCCCAGGCTGGAGTGCAGTGGCACCATCACAGCTTACTGCAGTCTCGACCTCCCAGACTCAAGCAATCCTCCCACCTCAGTCTCCCAAGTAGCCAGGACTATGGGCATGGGCCACCATGCCTGGCTAGTTTTTACTTTTTTTTTTTTTGAGACGGAGTTTCACTCTTATTACCCAGGCTGGAGTGCAATGGTGCGATCTCGGCTCACTGCAACCTCCGCCTCCTGGGTTCAGGCAATTCTCCTGCCTCAGCCTCCTGAGTAGCTGGGATTACAGGCATGCGCCACCGTGCCCAGCTAATTTTTTGTATTTTTAGTAGAGATGGGGTTTCACCATGTTGACCAGGATGGTCTCGATCTCTTGACCTCGTGATCCACCCGCCTCGGTCTCCCAAAGTGCTGGGATTACAGGTGTGAGCCACCGCGCCTGGCCGTTTTTACACTTTTTTGTAGACAGGACCAAGGCTGTTCTCAAACTTCTGGGCTAAAGTTATCCTCCTGCTTGGCCTCCCAAGTGCTGGGATTATAGGCGTGAGCCTACAGTACGCAGCCCCTGCTTTCCTCTTAAAAATCCTGCAGCTTGGCTGACAGCAGGACCCGCCTGCCTATACCCGCCTGGAGGAGCTCAGAAGCCTCAGCTCCTCAAAAGCAGCCCTTGCCAGAGTTGTGACTCCACACACGGGACCAGGAACGGGCCAAGCCCCGCAGAGGCCTTGCATCTGGGTTTCCTAAACACAGCTTCAGTTCAGCCACACACCAACGGCGCAGGTGGGTTACAACAGCCAGGAAATGCATCCATGGGACAGGAGAGACATGGAAGCCCCATGTGCTTTTGGTGGCCAGGGCTGAATTTCACAAGCAACATTAGAAATGTTTTATTCCAGCTTTTCTCTTAACGCAAAGGGTTAAAATGGAAAGCTGTGGTGTGAGGCAGTCTGCTAAACACTAGGATGAGGGCGGGGACTGACAGCTGTCCTCTCTGCTGCCACCTGTGCCACAGGAGCCTTCCCAGGGCCTCTCTGGTTTCCAGCCTCTCTTCACAGAGCCCGACAGCGCTGCTGGACTGGATGGGAGGGAGACTCATGCTGACTGCACGGAGGAGGAGCACTTTTTATAAAGATCAGATCAAGTTTCTGGAAACAAAAACACAAGATCCTAAGAGCTGCTATTTAGACTTGACGCACACTCCAGAATTTCTCAGGTGTCCACTGCCCAGTATCACCATACACCCATCCCTGGCTGGAGAGTGCACTCTTCAATGTGGAGACAGAAGGGGCAGGCAGAAGAGCCCAGGGCGCTGGGGGAGCGGGCGGGGGGGCTCCCACACATCTGGTCTGACCTGGTCGGAGACATCACAAGGGAAGGTGCGGAGACGCTGCCAATGGGGATACAGGGCCAGCTGAAGAAGACAAAGACGCCCCCTTCACCCCACACCTTCCTAGCCAGAGGGAACCAGCCAGCAGCTGGTAGCAGCTCAGTCCTGATGGCTGGAGACCTAGCCCTAGGCTCAGGCAGGCTGGGATCTGCTGCTCAGGGCCTAGAGGCAGCTCTGGGCCAGGGTGGAGGCTGGAGGCCAGTCTGCATAGGCCATCAGCTCCACCACTGGGGTGATGGCTGCTAAGAGCAAAGCAGTGGTGCCTCAGAGATGTAAGAGAACCACTCCCTGTCCCAAGGATCCCAGGTGGGGAAGGACAAGAAGCAGAGTACTCTGAGGCTACAGAGTATAGGCAACTCACTGGGGTGTGGGTGCTGGGGACTCACTGGGATGTGGGTGCGGGGACTCACTGGGGTGTGGGTATGTGGACTCAATGGTGTGTGGGTGCTGGGGACTCACTGGGGTGTGGATGCAGGGTACTCATTGGGGTGTGGGTGCAGGGGATGCACTAGGGAGTGGGTGCTGAGGACTCACTGGGGTGTGGGTACTGGGGACTTGAGGTAGGTGCTGTGCTAAGCAAGCCTGAGCAAGACAGTGCTAGAGGTGGGTGAGGAGGTAGAGAAGTCAGGTGGGGAGGGGGACTCTGTCCTGGCACTGGGGCCAGCTGGGGACCCGCCAATGGAGGCGAGGGGCTCACAGCTGCTAAGACCTGTGGACACAGCTTTGTGTATTCTGAAGTCATAGAGCACAAGAGCTGGGGCCGGGGGGGAGGGGGGGTGGGATGCGGACCAACCTCGCCTGTTCAGGAGGAATGGGGCTGGTACCAGAGCCCTGTAACCCCTCAGCACCTGCAGAGACTGCATGGCTCCCTAATGGGAGTTGGGGGCCGGTGCTTCTCGTTCCGTATTTCCCTGCACTCTGGAAACTCCTGCATCACTTGTCTTGGGCCTTTCACTGCCTCCTCCATTCCTCGGGCCACCAGAGGCAGGCTGGGGTCCTTTCCTTTCTCAACCTCCACGACCAGCGTCTAGCACAGGACATACACCCACCAGGACGCTGGGATAGAGGGCTCCCTTCTGCCTCTGGGCGGGTGGGCCCTGCAGCAGCTCTAAGCCTCAGTGCCTTGGAGGGAATCGTAAACTGCTGGGCAAAAGCAGGCCTCCTGACCCCAAAGCTGGTCTCCCTGGGTCTCCAGATCCCAGATGCCCTGACCCCCGTCACCTCCCAGATGCTGCCAAGGCTTCTGGGTGACATTTACCCTTATCCAGGGTAGTGATACAGGCCCCCAACGAACAGCTGCTTTGTAACCACACGTAGGGCCAGGCGGCTCTAATTTGAGTTAAGTATGTGGACTCTAAGGATTCTCGACACTCCGTTACTACTGGGCCAATTGAGGCGTGGAGCCTGGCTGCATCCTGCATCGCTGAAGAGCTGATGTGGGGCTACCGCTCTGGCTGCTGGGCACGTGACTGGCAGGCAAGGGTCACGCACAGCTGTGCTTCTTTGTTGCCAGAGGCTGTGCTGCAGCTCCCTGCCAGGCCCATGTCCTTCCTAGCTGTGAAAACATGAGCCTGCCTTGGCTTCTCCTGTGGAAGCCACAGCTAACTAGCAGCTGGAGGCAGCATTGTTTCTAAGGGAAGGCAGCTCCTGCAGGCCAGGGGCAGCACGACAAGGGCTGAGCCGCCGCTAAGCACAGGGGCGGTTAATACACAGAGCTCACTTCTCAACCACTTGCAGGAAGTCAGCTCACAGCTGCTCCCAGTTCTTCAATGCTGATCCCGCCACCGTACTGACAATCAGATCATTAATGTCTGAAAAACATATGGGAAAAGTGCAAAGACATCCATGCCCTCTGTTGCTGCGGCTCGGAAGCCTGGGCAGAAGGTGAGGTTCCCGCAGCGCCGGAAAGGGCCTTGCATGCTCCCGGAAGAAGGAACCAAGCCATTCCGCACATGCGGATTTTCAAGCGTGCTGCCCACTTCACCAGGCAGCCTCTGGGCTTCATTCTGCCCGTGTGGCCGGTTTGCTCTGTGTTGTCGGGAAAATGCCAGCGCTTTTCGTATAAACTGAAAACACCAAAACTATATTCTCAACTGAGGCCCTCCCCTACCTTCTCACCCCAGGGTCTCCTGGGTGCGGAGTTACAGCTCAGGCCGTGCAGGAGCCTGGAAGATGTTTGAGCTACGGGGAAAAAAAATCAAGACATGTTACCGGCTCTAAAATGAGGAAATGGCAGAATCAAAATTCAATGTCCATAAGCTGTACCAATTTGTCAGTTTCGTTAGTTGTTACATAGTTTAAAACACTCACATTTGGGATGTGAGTGTTAGATAGGTTAGGTTTTCCTCACTTTGCCACAACTCAGTGAACACAACCAATTCCTAAAAACCACACTGTCAATGAGATGAGTTATTCAGAACCAAATGACTGAAGCAACGTCTTGCCGTCTCTGCAGCTGTGAGGCCAAGCAAAAGGCTAGGTGGACGCCTGGTCCCAGACCCTGGCTGTGTGCACAGCCGCTCTGAGGATGCTCCAGGACGCAGCACAGGACCAGCACGGGCCGTCTCCTGCCCGGGTCACAGAAGAGGAAAGACTGGCACCAAAGCCGTCTGCGCTCTCCACCCAAACCCGGGCGATGTTGCACAGGCCTGCGCTGAGCCTCTGGAAGGAGCGGTCGGCCTGCTGCGCCGTCCTCAGGAAGACTTCCGAGGAAAGGTAACCCAGTTGTTTTCACTGCAAGTCTTTTCTTTAGTTGACACCGCTTCTCACTAGCGTCCGCCGAGCCAGTGGGGGCCGCCTCACCCCAGGCAAGGAAGCGGGCTTCCTCTCCCCAAGCAAAGGCAAAGGGAGGAGCGAGGCGGCACTGCGGGTGGCACGGGCCCTCCCCGGGGAGGGGCGCTCAGGGTCACCTGGCGGCTCCAGACCTCCCGGGATCCACACAGCTCGAGTCTCCCCGGTGGCTGCCTCGCGGCTGGGGACCCTGGCCGCTCCCACAGCGTCCACAGGGCCTGGACCCCCATCCTGCCTCCCGCGGCCGGGTCTCGCGTCCTCAGGAGAGTGGGAGGAGAGGGGTTGTCCAGGGCCTGCCCGTGCTCTGCAGGGAGGAACGGGGTCTGCAACAACGCTCGGACGCCCAGGCCTCCCGCGGGAGCGCCCACCTGCCGCCGCGGGGCGGGCCCCTCTCCCATCTCCTCCCGTCCCCGTAGGCCGGGTCCGGGCCACGGCCCCGCGCACTGACCTCTGCCCCGGCTGTCAGGTCCCGCGGGCACGGACGGCGCCGGGGCAGGGATGCAGCCGCAGTGCGCACCGCCCAGACCGTGCCTCCAGCAGCCCCCGCAGCGCCCGCACACCGCGCATGCCCAGCCGGCCCGGCGCGGTTGGAACCAGATCCAGCCGGCTGGACGGTGACGCCACCGCGCGCTGCAGAGGCAGGACCTCGGCGCGGGGAGGGCGGGGCTTCGGCGGGGGGAGGGTCAGGGGACCCCGCTGCCGCCCCTGGCCCCTCCCACGAGGCTGCTCTGGCCGCCAGGGCTTCCGGTCCAGCTGCACAAGCTGCGTGGCTCTCGGCAGCTCCCGAACGCGCAGGGAGCACCCCTCTCCCACCACCCCCCACGCAGCGCCCCTGCCCCTGGCACGTGCTTGCCTCTGACCGCCCCCATCGTCCCCCTACTTCCCCATCTCCCCCAATCTGCCCCCATTGCCCCATCTCCCCCAGTCTGTCCCCATCTCTCCCCCAATCTGACTCCATGTCCCTCCATCTCCCAGGATCTGCCCCATCATAGCTTCATCTTCCCAATCTTCTATCTCCCCCAATTTGCCCCATCTCCCCCAGTCTGCCATCTCCCCAATCTGCCCCTTTCCCAAACTGACTCCATGTGCCCCATGTCCCCCAGTCTGCCCCATCTCACCCAATCTGCCATCTCCCCAATCTGCCCCTCTCTTCCCCAGTGTGACTCCATGTCCTCCTGTCTCTCCCACTCTGCCATTTCCCCCAGTCTGCCATCTCCCCAATCTGCACCTTTCCCAAACTGACTCCATGTGCCCCATGTCCCCCAGTCTGCCCCATCTCACCCAATCTGCCATCTCCCCAATCTGCCCCTCTCTTCCCCAGTGTGACTCCATGTCCTCCCGTCTCTCCCACTCTGCCATTTCCCCCAGTCTGCCATCTCCCCAATCTGCCCCATCTCTCCCCCAATCTGACTCCATGTCCCCCCACCTCCCCCAGTCTGCCCCTATCTCCCTTGCCCAGGCCCTGCAGGCAGAGGCCCCGCTCCCCCAGGCAGCCACATGTCCAGCAAAGGGGAGGTGCCCCATACCTGCTGGCTGAATACATGCATAAGTCACCGCAGCCTTTTCGTCACCACACAGAAGGCATCTAGATGTCTTCCAGTTTGCATGTTCCCTGCCCTGGGACTAAGACTGCAGATCAATGTTTTTGCTTATTTTTGGAGATAGGGTCTTGCCCTGTTGCCCAGGCCAGAGTGGAGTGGCACTATCATAGCTTACTGCAGCCTTAACCTCCTAGGCTCAAGTGATTCTCTCACCTCCGCCTCCCAAGCAGCTGGAACTACAGGAGTGCACCATCATGTTCAGCTAATTTTTTAACCCTTTGTAGAGATGGGGTCTCACCATGTTGCCTAGGCTGGTCACCAACTCCTGGGCCCAAGTGATCCTCCTATCTCAGCCTCCCAAAGTGCTGGGATTACTGGCGTACCACCCAGCCTAATTTTTAATGTTTTTGTAGAGATGGGGTCTCACTATGTTGCCTGGCATAGGAGGCTGGAACTCCTAGGCTCTTGCCATTCTCCTGCCTCAGCTTCCCAAAGCATTGGGATTACAAGTGTGTGCCTTGGTGCCTGCGCTGCAGATCAATTATATGGAGCAAGGAAGCCGCACTGGCTATCCTAGCACAGTCAGCCCGGAGGTTGGGCAGGTTCCACGAGGAGGAGGGGCTTAGACTCCCTCCCTGCATCAGCAGGGGCCTCAGGGCCCGGGACACACTGTGCTCTGGCTTCAGGGCCTGCTCTGGAGGCCACCCCCGCCTGGGGAGAGGGTGTGGGCACCCCAGTCCCCTACTGGATAAGGATCTGCTAGGCAGGAGCCAGGCCTGGGGCTGGCCGTGTTTTCCCTGCGGCCGTTTCACCACCTCTGGGCGTGACCCCACCTGGCAGCAGGGAAGGCAAGGCCGGACTGGAGGCCTCCAGGAGCTAGTGGACACAAGGAGGCTAGGAAGGGACAGCCCTGCCCATGGCCCCTGCACTGTGGTGTTCCTGTTTAGTGGCTGTGCCACTGGCATCTACAACCCCCTTTCACAGAGAAGGATACAAGCTCAGTCACTGCTTTCACAGGAGGTACTCAATTCTGGGCCTTCTGAGCCCCAGTGGCCTTGTATGCTGACTCCCCAGCATGTCCCCAGCATGAACGCGCCAGCCCACACAGCCACCCGCCTCCATGAATGCGCCAACCCATGCAACCACCCACCTCCACAAATGCACCAACCTACACAGCCACCTGTCTCTAGGAATACGCCAACCCTGTGCATCCACCCATCTCTAGGAACGCACCAACCCACATAGCTATTCGCCTTGATGAATGTGCCAATCCTCACAGCTGCTCCCTCCAGGAACACACCAACCCACACAGCTGCCCCCTCCACATAAATGCCCACCTGCACAGCCGCCCCCTGCATGAACACGCCAACCTGCACAGCTGTCCCCTGCACAAACACGCTCACCCACACAGCCGCCCCTTCCACACCTGAGCCCAGGGACCAGGTTTCTTACCCGTGTAGTTCTGTGCCGGTGGCTCTGGGCTACTTTCGGAGACAAGGACAAAGGAGGAGGGGGAGAAGCTGGCCTGTGAGGGTTGGTGTGTTCGTGGAGGGGGCGGACGTGCGGGTGGACGTGTTGGTGCAGGGGGCAGACCTGTGGGTGGGTGTGTTCCTGGGGGGGCAGATGTGCGAGTTGGCGTGTTCGTGCAGGAGGCGCAGTCCCCAGGGCTGGGCTACCAGCCCCACAGGGAGGGGCAAGTGGTGCTGGCTGAGGACCTGTGGCCACAAGGGCTTCATCCACTCCATCTCAGCTCCCAACCACCCTGCTCTTTAAACTTCACAGGGGGGTAAACTGATCCCAGCAAAGGTGGACATGGGCCAGCTGCTGTGCCTTCCTAGGCTCTGTCCAGTGACTCACTTGTGGGGCTGTGCTGTCCCCCGATCCATGAAGCCACACACAGGCTTGAGGCGTTGGGCAGATGTGACTCTCCCTGACAGGTGTCACCGTGCCTGCTTTCCCGCAGCCCACACCCCTGGGCCCCAACACAGAGCAGCAGGTGCAGGGCTGCTTACTGCACCCTGCATATAACCACCTCCACAAATGTGCCAGCCCACGCATCCACCCGCCTCCACGAAGGCACCAGCCCACTATGCACCCAGGCTCAGCTAAGGGCCCCTTGTACCTATTACAGTCTCAAGGGTGGAGTAGCCAGGGTGGGGCCAGGAGGGAACCTCCCACCACCTGAACATGGCCTTGGCTTGAAGCAGCAGTGGCCAGTGGTCCACAATGAGACCCTAGAGCCCCCTCCCGCAGCAGCTCGGCAGGTCCTGGTCAGGAGGAGGGGGACAAGAGGGAAGGAAGGCACCCCAGATATCGGGTGAGCTGCTTCTGTGTATGGGATGCTGTTCTACATGCTGCGTATCCAGCACAGAACAAGACAAAGACGCATGCCCAAGGCTACGCTGAGGCTGCAGTACTGAGGAGAAAAATGAAAGGTAGGCTTAGCTTCTGAAATTTAAAATGGTTGATGAGGAAGGAGGTCAGGGAAACAGTGCCACAGGCAGCACCTGGGCAGAGACCTGTAGGGAGGGCACAGTGGTCCAGGCAGAGGCATGGCCAGCAAGCACCACCCAGGAAGGGGCCGAGGGTATGGGGTGGCTGTGGGGATGTGCCGAGGGGATGAGAGCAACATGGTCACCAAACCTTCCCCAGGTTATAAGAAGTAGCTTTCGAAACCAGGTACCCTGAGAGCATCTGGAGCCTTCTGAATCATTCAAGAAAGATGTAACTATGTCCAACACATTCTTTTAATTGGCCATCCTGCTCTGGTGGTCAGCAGGCCCCACTTCCCAGACATACCACGCCCCAGAGAATGCAGGGTAAATGGACATCAGATCCAGAGACCTGCTCCTGGCCCAGGGGGCTGTCCTAATACATCCCTTGCACTCGGCCCACCTGGAAATAGTCTCTGAGATGGAACCTGGGACCAGGGGCAAAGCCCCCACAGGTAGGTCTGCTGTTGGCCAGAGCAGAGGAGGTGCCATGGAAGGACTCAGCGAGGCTCCCATCTGCCAACTCACTTCTGTGGCATCACAAGAATCCACTGCGGGGGTGTGAGGGCGGGGAGGCCCTGGAAAGCAGAGGCCCCAGCCCTCAGAGCCCACAGCCACCAGTGCACACCACCAGGCATCCCCAGGTGACAGTGGTGCCGCTGGGCTGCTAAAGTCCACCCATGAGAGGCAGGGTCAGGAAAACCACACCAGCAGGTCCCTGAGAGAAAACACTGGTGGGAGTTGCCAAGCGCAATGTCAGGGTGCTACATGTGCGTAGGCAGTGCCTCTGCCCCAAGCATCCTTCCTCCAATCAGTTTGCCCAATCACACTGTTTGCCTGACCAATCCCATATGCTCCTCACCACCCTGCTGGGACACCCCCTCTCCAGGAAACCTGTGCGCCTGCAGTGCCAGCATGGGCCATGGAGAGTCTCGGCAAGTCCATTACACACGGAAAGAAGAGTTACCACTAACTCAATACGAGGGAACACAGCCCAACTCAGTCCATGAAGCTAGTATAACCCTGATACCAAAACCAGATTAAAAACCAAACTACAGAGTAATATCCCTTATCAATATAGATGCCAACATCCTACTCAGCAGCATGTAAAAAGAATCACATACCATGACCAAGCAGAGTTCACTCCAGAGGCAGAAGGCTGGCTCAGTATTTAAAAATCCATCAGTATAATCCAGCCTATCAACAGGCTACAGAAGAAATACCACTTGG